AATGCATCTTTGTAGGTGACAAAGTATTCCTATTCCGAAAGATACATGGACTGGTAAAAGGGTGATACAGGGATACACTTCCCCCCAATGTTTGCTGATGGGTCACAGTTTAGCAATGCTGGCCAGGAATTTGAAATTAAGTCTATTTTAAATAAAGAACAGCTGAGTACATTATTCGATTGCTAAAATGAAAAATGAAAAAAGAAATGAGCTCTTGCTAATGTTATGCTACTTGACATAAGATGGGGAGGATTTTGATTCGCAGTGGAAAACCAGGTTTTTTGGGTTGTGTGGCAAGCCCATGGTTGCACACTTAGTCCATTAGTATCAGAACCATACTGTAAGCCTAACATGATTCTTTTTTTATCCCACCATGTATTTATTTATGTATTTATTTATTTATTTATTGTCAACTCAAGGCATTAGATACGTTTTCTTTTTCATGGAGGTTTTATTAATTTACTCTGAGTAAATTACCTTATTCCAATATGGACATACTGAAAAATTCCACAAATATTTGTAAATGTGGTTGGTTGTCCCTTGACATTCCTCAGATACTTCAGCTTGAGCAGGAATTTCTGGATTCATCTTACCAATTTTGCTCTGAGTGAGATTTCGTGATCATTTAGCTCATGGGCAAAACCCTGGAGATATTACACTTATAAAAATGCTTTCATATCCCTTAAAATTCTATAGGTGTCTTGCTGAACCAGGGAACTTCCAATCTGGCTTAGATATGGCATTTGATAAAATGTGCTTTTGGATTACTGAAGGAATCTAAAGTAACAGTTGGAAACTCTTGAATGAACAGGAAGGGAATTCTATAAAGCTCTCTAATGCCTGATTGCAGTTATAATTAAGGGGATGGAGGCATCCTTTAAAAACCAGGGGGTTGAAGGGGGGATCACTTAAAATGCTGGACTCAGTAAAGGGTGACTGTAGTTTGAGAGGCACATCATCCTACTGCCATGTCATCTGAAATTTGACCACAATGGTACACAAGCGTTCCCATATGTGGACCACCAGTTGAGACTCTTTTGTCTTGCCAAACTGAACAAAGGAACTTTACAAAATGCAATTTGGAAAGGGGAAAAATAGATGAGATCGTCTTGAACAGATGTGCACAATATGCACGCAAGAGTGTGTTAAACCTCCACGAACCAATATGCCATTATTATTAAAGGGTGTCTGGTTTCTAATTAAAAAAAAAATCACCTGTCTACTCTTGATCTGCAGAACCAATTTAAGAAGCTAAAAATGGGGGCAGTTTTCCTCTGCCTCATCTTCACACTGGGGTGCTAATCCTCCCTCTACCTCCAGCTGCCTTTCATGAGCCTTTCCCCACATATCTTACGTTGTCTTGGTGGATGCCTGCTAATCTCTCCCGTTCTTGTACACCTGGAACCTTTCTGGACGCCTCCCCCTTTATTGTTGCTTCAAAAGGTCTGTCCGGAAGGTTGCTTTAGCACTAAAGACCAGCTTGTGTGGTATAAAAGGGGGCTGGGGTTGCAGCTGAAACCTTGCAGATGTTAAGAGGAAGAAAGGGAGAGAGACCGAGAGAGGGAGAGAGAGAGAGAAGAGGGAGAACTCTCGTTGCAGCAACAGGTAAGGAACGCTGTCGCCCTGCCTTGGTCCACCCTCTCTTTGCAAGGCAAAAGGCAGGCAGCTTTTCTGGGCTGTTTCTTTTCCCCTTCTATTTCAGGCAGAGGACTGTTCTAGCTGAAAAGATGGCAGGGCTTGCTTTATTCATTTTCTTCCGAGGGTAGGAGAAGAAGCATTGCGTTTCAGGTTCAGGGGTGCAGATCCCAGCTGACCAACATCAGGAAGGGATCAACTCAGTCCAGGGCAGCAGGAGAGCTTTAAAGGCAATGAAGCAGTAAGTGAGATCAGTCTTTCTCAAGCTGCCGTCCGCTGTCCACAGCATGTCCCGTTTCTAACTTTCTGTCATATTGCAGATAGCTTTTGCAAGGGATCTGATCCACTTTTATTTGTGCCTTTCCCAGTCAGCTGAAAGAGTGGTAGGTAAGAGCTTATTTCACACTCATAGCTTTGCTTGCTCTTTTTCCAGGCAGCATCAGCTCTCTGCTTAATTGTTCAGGAGTTCTGCTTGCATCGACAGTTGTGAATGCAATATCCCAAATAGGTTGAATAGTTAGAATTAAACAGGGCAGGAATTAAAGCCTTCTGAGAAATAGGACTTGTAGTAAGACTACAGAATAGAAGAATATTTTATGTGTCTTTATCACAGCTTTACCTTACCTATCCTTCCTCCTAGCTTCAAATCCGTATTCAAGAATATAAATGCTCTGGGAATGACAGTTCTTTTAAACTACAATTAGTTTTTAATAGACTAAAACTATTTTTAGTTGCTTAACTTTTTAATCTAACAACTTTTTTTAAAACCTTGGTTTTGCAACTAGGAGAAATAATAGTTTTATTTAGCTATGGGGAAATAGTTATCCCCCAAAACATATGAGGGGGAAAATATGATAATGTAATATATCTTAAAGGGGATCTAATTTCCAAGAGAATGCACATTTTTGACACTGACTCGTGATGAATAATTCTTCCATGGAGCTGCTATGGAAATCAGAAGCAATTCCATTATTTTGGAGGTAAAAAAATCCAACTTTGTCATCACTTGGAGATGTATGAGACCCCTACATGTAAAAGCCGGAAGGTGGTAACATCACGTTAATAGTACTGAAAGAAGAGGGGAGTTCAATCTGTAGCAAATTCAGCCTGAAATTTGGTGGTGCCTAACCATTTCTTCTCCTAAATACTATGGACCCAATCTTTTGTAGAATTTTTCTGTACAAGCCTCACTGAAATGAATGAGAGCTGCATAAGGAGGCTACTGAAGTCCAACGTAGTTCCTATTCATTTCAATGTGGCTTACACTAAAGAACTCTCTCATGAACCGTCCTTGGATCCAGTGATCCTTCCTCTCTTAACACCTCTCATGGTCCTCCATCTGTGGCCTCTTTCCTTGCTCTGTTGCAGTTTCACCATTGAAGAGGGATGCCTGACTGCTTGGCATACCTTACAGACACTCCACTTCAAAATATATCCTTCTACGCATGTTTCAGCTTCTTTTTCTCCCTTCTTGTTTTCTGCTGTTTGTGTTCTTGTTCATTTTTTAATTATCAAGCCCCTAGTTGGTGTCTCTTTCAACTGCCAAGACACTTAGGTCTCTCTCACAGCTTCTCTATGAATTTCAGAGTTATGTGTAACGAGTATGCGCTAAGAACAGTTAATAAGAAGACATTCCCTTCCAGAATACAATCAGTTCTTCAGATTTTGTCTGTTAAAAGGCATGTTGTTAATATGTTAATATTGTAATATTAATCTTCTAGATGGACTAGCAATCTGGCTTGGTATTAGAAGGATAGAGATTCCTGGAGAGCAGCCATGTGGCCCCTATTCATTTTCTTTTTGGTGCCACATGGGTCTGTGAAAGTTTCAGCAGACCTTGAAATAATAGAGGGGGAAAGTTTCTGTAAATGTCGAAATGAGAGAGGGGCAAAGCCAAAACCACTTCTCTCCCTGCAACATATGTGTTTATTTATAGGAATACACTTGAAAATACCTGCTAAGAGTAATGACGTAGTCCTGCCCAACATCTGGAAGAGATTTGTAATAATTCTAATGTTTCAAATGTACACAGAAAATGCGCTTATCTGTACATGGAGATTTGTACAAAGTGGTGGTGGTGGCGGAATAGTACAAAGAGTCCAATGATGGTCTTAGCCTAACATTAAAGAAATTTATCCTCTTCCCTTTTTTTCCTTTGACTGTAATAAATTTCACGCCTGCATTTCTGTGGGATTAGCAGCTGTAGCTAGGAATGGTTTACTGGGTGTTTGGGTAGAGGAGATAGTTATAGCATCATAAGCCATGGCAATAATTAATTCCAGATGTTGGGACTGGGGATTTTTGGATAAAATAAGATACTGAGTGGTCCTGTTGTTTTTATGAAGGTTGTACCTCTATTCACGGCAAGGCAGCAAATACATGAAGAAGAATCTGGGGAAGCCATTAGCACTACCACCTCTGGCTAGTTTTACTCATCACACTAAGGATTTTGTTGTTTTTTTTTACAATGGCTTGTGGAATAACCACAATGGGCTGTGTTTCCATATTTCTCACTGTGGTTTCCAAATCATGGTGGCTGGATTTGTACAATAGGATAAGGCAAAACCAAATCAACTGCATTAGGGCTTAGCATGTATGTGTCAGTATAGCCTGTGAGTGGAAGAGGTTAAGCAAATCAGTGGGAAAATACAATGTTAGCCGCATTCAGGTTGGTTCTGCTAGAGAATAGGGAATAAGCATATCTCTGCAAGTGCCAGCTGATAATGCTAGAATTGTCTAGTATTTAAAGCAGAAGTCCTCTGCCTTTTGGGATGAATAAGCACATTTGGAACGTTGAAAGCATGTGATGGGCATTGTCACAAAAATGGTACCGTGGTGGATATGACCAATTCTGTTACCAGATTTAAACAAAGAACAGGGTTGCTGCCTCCTACCATTTATTTTATTTTTCTAAGAATGCCCCCAGGGTCTATGTGAGTCCAAAGGCATTAATGGAAATATGTTATGCTTGAGGCTGGATCTTAGTTTTGCAGCACGCAAGCTCCTATTCTTACCTAAAGTTAAATAAGGAGGGTGAAGAGTTGGGCAGGTACCAAAGAATGTGCCAGCAGGACATTGCTACTCTAGGCAGGAGTTACAATTTTGGGAGAGATTTCTGAAGAGATACTTACACCTAGAATCCTTGGGAAAATATTTTTGACGGCAACTTAGTATTATCCATCAGTAATGCAGATAGAAGAAAGGAGGTTAACCAGGACTAGGTAGTGAGCTTAGGTTAAATCTGGACAAAACCTTTCATAGCTCATGCACCCCAACATTTCATGCTACTTATAATCCACATTACCTGGCTTTCTTTGGTGGCCCATATTTTTGTCTCAGCAGAAACAGCGTGGCTTTCTCTGAAGATGCTGAATCCCCAGTGGAGTCGTCTTTTGGCCATCATGGGAGTTCTGCTCATCCATTCAGCGGCAGGAGTGCATAGCCTCTGTTGGGAGAGCAGTTGGTGTTGGAGCATGGACACGGAAGTGAAGATGATGGTAAGTGGATAGTCCATCTAGGTCCCTCTTCTTCTTGGATGGTTGCACTGGTGAGAGAAAGCACAGGACTTTGACCACCCAGTGAAATGGTTGTTAATTAAATTCAGGTAAATCCAAGGAAATGCCTTGAAATGATTGTATGGGGCTCATTATCCCACATTGTGGGTGACAGCCACTTGCTTACATAGGGATTAAATGGAGATTATTCAAACCGATGAAGACATTGTATATCATCAATGATTAACTGGCTGTTATGATCATATGATGCCAATGCTTCTGGGTCTACTTCACAGGCCCTTCTAAAGCCTTGAATGGCCTGAGATCAGAGTATTTACAACAAAAGTCCACAACCAGAGCCCCAGGTTTATATACAGTCCCTCCAAAGGATGGGATGTAGTCCTTAAAAATCTCTCCAGAAGCAAACTGTAATGTTTAATGTGTTAGAAGGAGGAAATTATTATATTCCTCAGGATAAATCATAATTTAATTACAGTTAATTTTATGTATGTTTGTATGTACGCTAATTTTTTTTTAAAAAGCCTGACAGCAACTCACTATGGGCACTTTACATAATTAAAATCAAATCAAATCAAAAATGTATCTATAGTATCTATATCTTGGTGTAGGCTTTCACAGCCAGTATCTGTTGGGCAGTGTTGAGCTTCACCATTTAGTGACCATGGTTTAGACAACAGATTTCCTGACTTTTCGCTGGCAACTGTGGCTGTCATCTTCAGAGTATCTTCTTTCGTCCTCACTCCTAGCACATCCCCTTAGTATCTCCTTTTGTCCTCACCTCTGCCCTCTCTAAAAATGTTGTGAAATTGGGAAATGTGATGATGTAGTGTGTCTGTTGGCAAAGATCCCTAGCAGCCCAAACAAGCAAGCATATATATCAGAGGGCTGCATGGGGCCTGAGAGTGATGTGATTACTTCATCAGAGGAGATAGAATAAATTTTTCACCTCTTTTTATTTTTCATTTCATTTCTTTTTCATTTGAGGCAACATGATAAGCTTTGCTGAGGCTTAATCCACCTGTTTTACCCCCACACTTTCAGAAATCAATGGATTGCTTCTGAATTTTGGTGACTTAATCTTGTGGAGGGGAATGTAGTTCGTGGGCTCAGATGGTGTAACCCAGTGATAGAGGGAGAACCCAGTGATGTTTGGAAAGGGAATATACGTAGAAGGATAGCGCACCAGAGGCACGCTAGGCTGAATTACCCACTGAATGGCTGATAATGGGAAGTTAACTTCCCAGTTGAGTCATCTTTGGTCTTCTTTTCCAGACCATCAGTCTTTCTATTTCTCAAGCTTCTATAATGCACCTTAAAATTAAAGCCGAAAAACTGAAATAATTACCTTTTTCAGATCTATGCCAATATGCACAGCACATGCATACTGTTGCATGTCTAGAGCTTGCAGAGAATATCAACCAATAAATATTCATCATTGCTGCCTTTTCGGTTGCTGATAGCTGAACCCTGCCTGCTGAACCTCCATGAATCAGTTGAAATCCCTTGTCTCCTTCTAGAAAAAGAAGTTGTTGTTCCACCACATCAATTTGTGTATATTTGGTGATTTGCAAAAAATCCATTCTTGGACGCTGATAGGTGGTAAGGGAAGGGCACTCTCATGATCAACATGGCAGCAAGCCTGCATTTGAAATCCTCAAGAGACATTCTATATCTTGGCAGAATGGTGGCAAAATCTTTCCAAATCGTGATCCTTGGGGCAGCATGTAACAAACTGGTAGTGGTGGGCAGGAGAAACATTCAGTGCTAAACAATATACACACAAATACCAGAACATTGGAAACTGTTTGCCGATACTGCATTTGCCTTGGTCTCAGTTGGAAATGAAATAGTTAAACTGAGCATGGAAAGAAGGGGTATGTGGTGAGAATACCCTCCAGTGGAAAACAGAAACCTTGTCCCAGATTGCAGAAAGACTGAACTTCTTGATGTAGTGACAAAGCCAGTAATTTTGCATATTTTAAAGATTAAAATAACTTTTCCTGGATCCCATTCTGAATGTTCTTTAAGAGGCAAAGGCAGGATGTAAACCCAATGGATATGTAAAGTGTCGACAGGAGTAATTTTGTCTTGTTATCTAACTCCATTTATGATCTCGGATCATTTATCTCACCTAATCTAGAATCCAATTTCTAACAATGGCTGGAATATCTGAGAAGTTCACAAGTGGGAAATAAAGGGCAAAAAAAAAGAGCTCCTTGTTTTTTTGCCACCTATCATCACTGAGAAAAGCAGTTTCCACATGTTCCCTTCCAAGTGAGATATACAGGAAATACTTTGGGTGGGAGGATGCAAAAGCAGATATAACAAGAGTGGTTTGACCAGCTAGATGAGATTTGTCCACTTTGTGGAGGTACCAACTATTCTTAGATCAAGGTCTCCTCCCAGGTTGCTTCCTACTTTAAAGGAATGTATAATCTGGGAGCTAATCAAGATTCTAAATATGAATGAATTAAATTTAAATAGGAACAATTCAGCTTTAGAAAAACTTGCTTGCAAATTAACAAAGGTCTTGCAGATTTGCTGGTGAGCCTGACTCTCATTGCTAAGGCACCAAAACTGAGAAAAGAGGGAAGGGGAATTAGCTTTAGGTGGTACTGGAAGCTGCACAGTAGTTTTTAAGTCAATATTTCCCTGCCTTTCCCCTGTTTCCTCTTCAGGAGTGTCTCAGGGCCTGCAGAATGGGCCTGTCAAATGAGTCTCCGCTATATCCAGGACATGATCACATGCAGCCTCTGCCTGAAAATATTCAGAAGTACATCCACTGGAACAAATTTGGGAAGAATAACAGCAATGGCCGCAACTTAGGCTATAAAAGAAAGGACCTTTCGAGTGACTCCAGTGCAGATCTCTTCTTGACCTCTTCACAAACCCAAGAGAGCTGGGAAGGAGACTCAGAAAGCCACCAAGAGTCCCGTGAAAAGCAAGAAGGCAAGAGGTCATATGCAATGGAGCACTTCCGATGGGGGAAGCCAGTGGGCAGGAAAAGGCGACCCATCAAAGTCAATCCCAATGGGGTGGAAGAGGAATCATCAGAGAGTTATCCCCAGGAGTTCAGAAGAGACCTTTCCTGGGAAATGGAGTACCCTGAACTCGACTCCCCAGAAGAAAAGCAGAGCAGTGAAGCCACCATGTTGGACAAAGAAATGCAGCCGAGAAAAATAAAAAAAGATGATGCCGCTTACAAGATGCGCCACTTTCGGTGGAACACGCCAGCCCTGCCCAAGAAGAAGCGCTATGGCGGTTTCATGACATCAGAGCACAGTCACACTCCTCTAGTGACTCTTTTTAAGAATGCCATCATTAAAACTGCTTATAAGAAAGGCCAGTAAGGGTGAGGGAGATCAAGACCAAAAAGCACCCTTGCACAGTGGTGATGGGGAGAAGAGTCTGGGCACCCTGCATATAAATTTCTCTGACATATTTCATGACAATATTGTTAATGGATATCATTTATTTTCATTGTTCTTACTTATTAATATTAACTAAGAAACTCACTGCTTAGGAGACACTTTCACGTTTGCCTTCTGGTTTTGAATATACCAATAATTGGTGGGAGGCATGGGTGACAGATGTTTAAGGTGACATCTGTCATTGTGTGTAAGTAAGCAGGAAGAAGAGCTAAAGGAGTAGTTATCTTTCAGAGGGACAGATTATTTTTATATTTTAAACCAGCTGTACAATACTGTAAATGAAAGGATTAAAATTATAAAATACTACTACTAAGAATAACGATAATACATCTTTTGCAAACTAAGTAAGTCTCTGAGGTTGTCTTTTGGTCACCTGGAGTGCAGTCATCATGATTTCAGAGTCTCCTGCTTTGCAGCAGACAAGGATGCAATTAAAATGGTATCAATGTTAAAAAAGAATGATGAATTAAAACAGAGAAGGCCCATCTTTTGGAGGGGGAAAAGATTATGTTTGGACTTGCCTTTGTGAGCCAAGAGTTAGTCCAGAAGTGAGTAGATCAAAGAGTGGGCAAGGCCAAATCACTTTTAGATACATTTCTCAAGGGAAATGGGTGTCACCTCCCAATGTTTACCATTTCCCTCCTCCTACATTACATTGGCTACCAAATTTGGTTTGGGAACTATACCGCTGAGTTTCAAGGGTAAACCACTTGGCCACAATTTGGCTGAAAATGAGGATACGCCTGAGAACCACCCAAAGGAGCTTCCACACAACATGATTTTGACCCCTCAGTCTCTCCAAAGCAGTTAGAAGCTGGCTTGCAGCCATCTTTGCTCTAGTGGACCTTGAAACTCTGAGAACAGGCAGGGACTAGCATGAGGCAATAGATGCTCCCTCCAGCTAACCAACGGGAGAGGGCCAAAAATAATCATTGAGTCAGTGTGTGTGTGTGTGTGGGGGGGAGGAAATGACTAGATTTCTCCTTGTGTTTGCCGCATGTGTGGTATACATTTGTTTATTTTTCAAAAGTCTTATTTTTCAAGCTGTTGGTACAAAGGAAAGTTGCTTAGCCATCAAGATGCCATTCTTACTACCCTTTCATTCCCACTGAAAACTGGAAGGATAATTTAACACCTTCCGGGGGAGATGGGCAGCATACAAATTTAGTAAATCAATCAATCAATCAATCAATCAATCAATCAATCAAATAAACACTATAGTTTTCAGCCAGATGCTTTTCCCAGTAGCAGTCTATAGTTCACAGATTAGGGCAGTGTTTCTCAATCTTGGCAATTTTAAGATGTGTGGACTTCAACTCTGAATTCTGGGAGTTAAAGTCCACACATCTTAAAGTTGCTAAAGTTGAGAAACACTGGAATAAGGCCATGGGGCAGTGGCGTGGAAGCTCAGAAATGGCATGCTAGAGCTGAAGGTGTTGAGAAGTGGGGTGAGGCAAGGTTTCATTGTTTACCTCAGCAGGGAAAATTAAGTCCAACAGTGAAACTGATCAGACGCCAACTAGAAGGATTACAACAAGGTTCTCTGGCACCTTTACTAGAGAGCTCCGAGTTCAGGTGGTGGGAGTTGGGGGGAAAGAAAATTCCAAGAAACTGGCCTTTCCCCAAGTTGTGCAGATCTCTAGCACTGCAAATGGAAAATGTTTGCAATCTGAATTGCACTGCAGACAGCTTGGGAGAAAATCAGCTGGGCTGCCGAAGGAGGAGGGGAGGATTGGGAACACAACAGTGCAACACTAGTGTCCAGGAGCATACATATTACTCAGTGGACTCAGACAACCCAACACTGGATTACAATGAAAGAAAAAATGTAGACAGCCCTCTGTAATGTTATACTTTGCAAATGTGTTGGATCACAGATCCATTAATCCCAAATATCATGGCCAAATGTCACAGCTTCAGGAAAGAAGCTCTGGACAGAGGGCCAAAATCTCTCACGCAAAGATGCCCTTGACATAAACTGCTTAATTGGAGCTCCATGTAACTCATTCTCTGAAATGGGTGAAGAATAACATCGAATCACAAAGAACATTATCTTCTTAAATATGGCCATTCCCCAATCTTGTACTGTTACTTATAAAGTAGGAATGCAGACTAGGCAAAATGAGGCCACCTGTGGCTTGCCAGCATCCATTTTTATCCCCCCAGAATGGGTGGGGACAATATTTGACCCCTGCTTGCATTTGGGGGAAATCCAGAAAGGCTTAAAAGGCTAGAATGGGTGACTTTGTACCCTTAGGCCCTGTTACGTTTGGAATGCGACACATAACTTACCACACAAGTCTGGTGCAACTCTTGAGCCAACAGAAGTTGTGCATCCTTGTTCAAGAGTTGGCAGAGCAAAAGTTTGACTGAAGGCATATCCTATGCTCTTGTTGGCTTGACCGGCTTAGTTGAAGAAAATCCTGCATGGACTGAAACATTTTGACAACAGCTTGCAGTGTGGACTACAGGCTACCACATCCTCCCACTGGACAATTCACCTGCTTCTGTGCCCCCACCTCTCTTTTCCAGGAAAGAAATTGCCAATTACTTTCCAGATACTCACACACATATGCATGCACAGAGATCAGAGATGTATGCCTTTAGTCAAACTTCTACTTTACAGGCTCTAGAGCAAGGAGATATATCTACATCCACATCCACATCATCTACATTTACATACATGTATATGTATATACACACACATACATGTACAAAGTTAAATTAAATTTGTACTTATAAGATTAAAGCATCAACATGCAGATACATGCAAGCCCAGCAAGCAGCTTAAAAATGTCCTTCTTTCCAGCGTGCTCTCTAATAGGTTCTGTACTTCTTACCAACATCAAGGAAATAGCATATAGTGGTGGTTAAAATCTTTACTTAGGACAGAGAAGGTTGATGGTTTAAAACCTGGCAGATTTTTTTTTTTTTGAATTATGGTTTTTCTGGAGCAGGTACTTTTCCCTGCCCTCTGTTACTTTAAGTAACTTCAGAGTTTCACCAGTTTACCATTTTTCCAATTATCTGAGATAGAAGGATTTCACTCTCAACTCCCACATGGCCCAAATAAACTTCAGAATATATTCCATCTGGAGGAACCGGTAGAAGCTGTGACCAGGAGGGCTTTTGCACAACTCCATCTGGTGTGACAATTACAACCTCTCCTGGAGCAGGAGGGTCCCCTTTCCACCACTCATGCTTTAGTCAACTCTTGTTTGGACTATTGTAATATGCTCTACATGCCCCTGAAGACCACTCAGAAGCTACAATTGGCCCAGAATGCAGCAACTTGAGTAGCAATGGGCATTTCGCAATCTATTAATGTAACATTGCTAGTTTGAGAGCTGCTCTAGTTACCCATTTGCTTCTGGGCGCAATTCAAAATTCTAGTGGTCACCTTTAAAGCCCTTCATGGCTCATGATTTGAATAGATTAAGAACTGTCTTTTCCCAATGGTTTCTGCCTGAATGGCAGAAGTGGTAGAACGGGCCTGTTTCAGGTCCCTCACTCAGGGGATGCCAACAGCAGAAGTCTCAGAGGTGGGACTTTTCAATTGGTCCCTCTGCTCTTTGGAATAGCATTCTCCCTAAGACCCCTGCTGGGTGAGGGTAGGGTTAGAGTGCAATTCAAGGTGCTGGTTACCACCAATAAAGCCTTGCAAAGTTGCCTATATCTTATTACCTCTGCTTACCCAATACAATCTGATAGGGTTGGCATGATGTATGAAAAATGCCATCAGGAAGCATGCTTTCTCTATTGCCACATCTGCCCTATGGAACAGTATAACCCAGAGATTCAGAGGGCCTGACCCTGCTGGTCTTCTGCAAAGTCTTGAAAATCTGGTTCGTCCCCTAGACATTGGCCAGGGTGTTGGATTTAGTAATGGTTGAGAATATGATTGTGGTTGGTCTCAATTGTGCTACAGTATGTTGTTTTTATTTTTCTTGGTTATTTTTTTTAATCCTATGCTAGCCACCAAGACTTGCAATTTGTGAGTTCCAGAAAATGAATGAATGAATGAATGAATCTTGGACTTCTCAGCAAAAGGATGTTGGCTAAAGAATTCCAGGAATTAAAGTTCATATATTGGGGGAAACCTAGTTTGGAGACATCTGGTCAGGGTTAGTTCCCTCTTCCCTCTCTCCCAGCTGTTAGTTTATGTCTAGTATTTCTCCCATGTGTTCCAGAAATGTTGGATTACATGTTCCATTAATGCCGGCATTGATGAAGTGAGTGGTCTGGTCTTGAGAAGGTGTCATCCAACACAAGAGACCAGCGGCAGCTGTTGGGGAATGGGGCAAGAAAGCCAAGATGGCAGTCATGGCAGCATGCTTGAAGTGCTGCCCTTCATATGTGCATCACAATAGCACACATGTACAAGAGGCAGGTGTGATCTGCCACCTTTGATCATGCTGCTGCAATTGCCACCTTGACTTTTTTGACTCCCCATGGATACCACTGCTAGAGAGATTAAGAAAGTTTGTGCTAGATTTAAAACCCTTACATGGCAGGGTAAAGAACTCCAGAACATTGTCTGCAGAGTGCCAGTTGGTTCTAGCCAGGAGCCCAAATTTTATTGCCAGTAAATCCAACAGCTACTCTGCCTCCCCTATGACATACCTAACTAAACTTGAAGTACCGAAACACCAAAGGTACTCTGACATGAAGTGATGCCCTCCCCTCAGCTGTCCTTGAAGGCCGATACAGGAAGATTCCTTACCTGGAGAGACATGCCCCTGTGACTCTGGACACGCAGAAACAACAGAGTATGTGCTTCTCCAGTGCCTGTACTATGGAGACATTCGTACTAGATTCATCTCACCATTACTGCATAAATATCCAGGGTGCACAGGACAATTTTACACCACCTTGATGTTTTCAGATACCAACCCTACTATAACATACAATGTTGCCAG